TACAACATTTTTCGTAATATGTGTGAGGAAAATTGATATAAATAGTAGAATAAGTAATTTAAACAATGACTTTGAAGTTTATGCACTTTGCATTATTCCTCCGTATGAGTTGGATAATTAACTCACAAGATAAGTTGAGCGAGGTCCAGGGGTGGCAGCCCCTGGTGGGGGGGGGCAAATCCCCGGAGGGGGGAACGGGGGTACGGAGGGGCTTCGCCCCCCGACTACAAAAAAAATAAAATAATCGTTATTCAAAAAAAAAATCATTTTTATTTTTTTAAAACTATATTGAAGGCAGTGGAAGAGGTCCAGTGTAACGTTCGTTCCGAACCTACAAAGAAACTTATACTGATTTTTAGCGGCAAATTCAGACGTTCTAAAACTAATCTTAAAAACCTCCTAAAACTTTACCCCAAGTACTTTAATCCCATAATCCTGTACTTTTAAGCCCTTAAACCAAACGACCCGGGGTGCAGAGTTTATTTAGTTGTTAATAATAAAAGAGCTACTCATCTCAAAAAAGGAAATAATTTGTAAATCATTTGAATGATCTTTGTAGATTGAAAACGAGTATTAATTATTGAAGTAACTTTTGGTTATCCTATTCGTGCAAATTATACTATAAAATTATAGCAAACTAATATATATAATGGCTTGCATATTTTAAGATCATACTCTTCTACAATAGTTCACTGGACTTAAAAGTTATTTGTCCTTGTACAATATAACTTCAGTAGTTGTAAAAGTTTTAAAGTTGTGACACTCGAAGTTGTTGTTACTGTTTTTTTGTAAAAATTGTCATGAATTAGTTAAAGTGATTAGTCGTTCATTAAAATTAACTAATATAATTGAACGCATCAGCTTACTACGTTGGAATTGCATAGAGAATTATGGAGTTGGAGAGGGCATTATTTATCACACATAGGTTTTTCTGATGGATGTTTTCGAAACTTTAAACGTAAATATACCGTAAAAAATACACTACACAACATTTCAAATCGTTTTACTGTATCGCTTGTTATATATTTCATTTTTAAAAATTTTTATTTGACATGGAAATAAGTAATGAGCTTGACTTTTAAAATCTAGCATGTTTCTCCTAGTGACGTAACGGTCACCATACCGCACGAAAATTAAAGTGTTAATATAAGGCGAATTAAAAAAATTCTCATCTATTTTCTAACAAATTACAAATTTTCAACTCTTTAATAATTTAAAATAACTTTCAAGCAAAAAAATCAAATTAAGCTCTATCTATACTAAACGTACAGAATATATTTAACAAACTTTTAGGCGAGTAACAATTAATTAATAAGCTAGACTAAAAAATTATATGAAAATTATTTTAACAAGGATTATTTGTTTCCAGGGCTACTAACAAAATTTTGGCACAAAATAAATAACCTCTTTTAAATAATACTGTAATAGGCAAAGAAAGAAAAAACTTTTAAAAGGTTACACTTTGCCGTTTTGCAGTAATGAAATAGTTAATAAGCGGAAATCGAGTATTTTTATCAATTAAAAAAATTTTTTCTCTTTCAAGAGTCCTAAACAACAACTATTTAAGGGGACACCATTAAAATAGTGTACAAGTTATTTCCTTTTCTTAAGATAAGTAACTCTTTTATAATTATAAGAAAATGTAATTATTAACCAATTAAACTCCATACCCAGGGTTATTTTATTTGAGTGTGGTGAAGAGTGAATGGTTCAGTTATATAGGTTGATTTTAATAAACTACTAATCACTTTCATTAAAATTTTTATGCAAAATGTGCTAACAATAAATTCGAGTGTCACAACTTCGAGACTTTTACAAGTACTGAAAAAAAAAATCAAAGTTAAAAATTTTTGAAAACACGCATAAAACCATTACTATTCGTGAAAAACGCATAAAGAAATGAAAATCTTCACAGATGAGATTTTGGCATAAGCTGCTTGAACCTGGTCAAACAATTAATTCGACTCTTAACTGTCAACAACTAATGCGATCGCAGCGGTAATGGAAAAAAAAAAAAATGGCCAGAATCGATCAATCGAAAAGTCGTTGTCTTCTATCACGACAACGCTAAACCACAGATTTTTTTAGTGACTCGGCAAAAATTAAGAGAGCTTGGGTGGGAAAGTTTAATGCCGTCTGAATACCATTTGTTTCGGTCTCTGCCGAAATCTCTTAGTGGTTAAAATAGGCTTCAAAAGAGGCTTGCGAAAATCTGTAAATAAATACAGTTAATTTCTTAAATTTTAACATTATTTTTAATGTCTGTGTTACTCTTTCATCAGTCACATTATACTATTTTGTTACTTAGCGGTCGAGCAAAGCAAGTATAAGTAAAACTCTTACTTTGTGAATATAGATTAAAAAAAAGATGAAATCATTACTAATATTAAATAAAACCAGATGAGGCATATTTGCAAATCTAAAAATATGTGCTGATTCATCATTGGATCATTGGATTTTACCATTTTAGTATCCGTTATTGTACTAATAAAAACGGTGACACGATAAACACACAGACATTAAGATAAAAAAATTTTTTTACAAATTTTCCAATTTTATGGATTTGCTACGAAAGCAATTATTAATTGACGAAAAATTAAAAAACGATTTCTACACTTATCAACTACAATACAGTTATCAACATTTTTCCCTCTCTTTCGACGACCAGTGTATCGTTGCATCGAGCGTTGTGCCAAGTTTTCATTTAGTCTTAACTTAACGAACAATTAAGCAACGTCTGAAAAAGTTGAACTTCATTATAACAAGTGCAGAGTCTCGCCTATTTTATAAAATGAAGAAAAGCGATGACCTACCGACAGCAGACCGTCAGGAAATTATCACAATCGAATTTCCAAAAATCCAGAAAAATGTAACAAACCAAGTCCGGCGACCTCATGGCCCGATAGTCGTTACTTTCTCTTCAAAATACGACAAGTCCATTCAGCGAGATGTGCAGTCCAAGCAACTGTTGAAACATAAATTTGTGTTTGAAAATCGTTGTCTGTAAGCGCAGATCACATTAAATCTGTGCGCGAATCGATTATTATTAACATATTAACATAAAGATATATCAATCGGTGTGCAATTTACTTTTACCCATGTGTTTGAGATTTAAATAAAATTTTATGTCAAGCCACTAACAATTTTAGTGTTGAAATTATTCTAAGAAAAAAAATTTTAAATAATCCCAAGTGAAAAGTGTCTCATTCGTTCAATTGTTTATTAAGAAAAATCAAAAATAATAAGTAATAATAATAATTAACAAAGTCAAGGTTCGAGGCTTTATTAATATTAATCTTTCTAATAAATATTATTAGTTGTTATCATTATTTTTTTTTTGTAAAAATTGAATCGAAAAATTTTGTTTTATTCCCTCATTAAATCATAGCAACAAATCAAATAAAGAAAAGAGATAGAGAAGCTAGTTGGGCGTAAATGACTTTAAAGGCTGGTGTGCCCTCGGTAAAAAAAATTCGTCGGGATTCGCCATATAAGCGCCATCGCTCCACGGCTACCTTGTACGTCCCTCGGAAAATAGTCCCGGAGACGATGGCACTTATCCGACAAAAACTACTACTTTTCATTCCAATTTCTCGTTTCACAGCTTTTTTATGAATTCATCCACATTTCTATCACTCTGCCCCCCCCCCTCCTGTTTCGTATCCCTAAAACCTGTATATATAGAGTATACATTAAATTTTAAGGTAAATCAACTCGTTTTTTTTTTTTTTTTTTTTTTTTTTTTTTCATCAATCGCTTAGTAAACGTTGGTATAACTTGCATTGTTCTCCTTCTGTCTTTATTAAAATACATTTGAATGGCGAAGATAATTATAATCTAAACTATTTATAACAACCACTTTTAATGCTCAGAGATTTCTAAAAGCTATTTAAAATGCTATACAATAATCCAATCCAAAGGTTTTGATAAATTCATCATGACTTTTATCGTAAAAATGCCCATCTCGGCAAAGCGTATACTATTATATAATTATAGTAATGTTAGAATATTGCGTACTGGACGCTGTCAGTTAGTATAGTTACTAGACTAGAGTTGCATAGTTGCATTCCAGTCTTTAAAAACTAGTCAAATTACGGCTTGGCAATTATATTATTACAATAATGACATCCAAAAAATTTTACTTGACTTTTTATATCAAAAGTTACCCATACGTTGTTAAATTATTATAACTTTTGAGTGGCAGGTTTATACAATTCATGAATATCCCGTACCAATTTATCCAAACATTTTGCACAAAAAAATTTGAAAGGCATTTTTTTCTTTTCAAAATAAGAAAATTAACTTGAAGGAATTTTTAGTGTCGTAACTGTAAAATACATTTATTTTAATTAACTTCAGATTTTTTCGGACTTGCACCCAAAATATGGCCGTGCACATATATATATATGCATTAATTCAAGATTTAGAATGATCCGACTTGGATGTTACACTTATAATTTTCTTAATTGTCTTAAGATTTTTGGAGCTTGATTTCAATTCATGGACATTTGTTAATTTATTTATTTGGTCCAGCTTGGCTTTTTACTTCTTCAATTTAATCTTAACAAAATATTGTTAACTGATATATACGAGCTGAGTAGTAGTTTTTTCATGTCTGATTTGCAAATTTTTCAAGTGTATTTCAATCTGTTTGATAAGATTTACAAATGTGATAACGAAAATTGTAGAAACAATGTTGTTTGTATTTATACTGTTCTGAATAATTTTTTACAGGAAAACTATAGACTTGTGTGGAGACACAACTCGACTCTTTTATTGTGTAAAATACATGAACCAAAAAAAAGCACCATTTTGTTATTCTAAATACTGCTGAAGATTTAAGGCCTTCATTTAAAAATAAAATAAATAAAATAAACATTTACAACTATTGTGAAATATAAATATTGTAATGAAACACAATAAATGCAAAAAAGTTATCCAATGCAAGATATTTTATTATAAAATAATTTTACATTAAAAATCAATGTAGAAGCTTGGCTATGCTTTCACTTCTAGAAATTGAGTCTGGTATAAAACATGATATTGATTATATCATAATGATTTTTCTGAATGAATACATGAGATACATTTCACGCAATCACAAACCATTATGAAAAATAAATCTAGCATTGTCCTTTTAAACAAGTGTTCTTAGTTGATATTGAAAAAAAAGAAGGGAATTCCGGACAAGCTGCAAATAATGTTTGTCATAACTGGGGAGGAAACATCATAGTATGCATGAAAAACGATGTTTATGTGTTCCAAGCTGGTAAGCGTTAACCCAAAATAAAGGTAGTACGGGCTTGAAAGCACAATCCATGACTTTTTTCACCTCCACATACGAGCTCAATCGTTGCAAACGATGCTTCTCACTTGATCAATCAAGCTAGTTTTGAAATGAGGTCTCCTCGGTGCTCATGGGCTCTGAGGTAGTTACGGATTCCGCGGCAACTTTCTCCTGCTCCTCAATGGGAGTTTCGTATATTCGCGGACCGTAAAGTAAAACGTAAGCGCAGTGCCAATCACCGCCACCGCTTAGTTTTAGCACATCTTCACTTGTCACCACGCTGACGTTCTCGTCGTCACACTTTAGCCAAGTGTCTCCCTTCTGGCGAACCCAACCCACGTAGTGACCGCTGCTGCTTGTGCGGCCTTGATGCGTCAACACCGCTTGTAGCTCGTAGTAGCCACTGTTATTTGAGCCAAGATCTGAAAAGTAAGACAATATCATTTTTAGTTGTCTTGCAAGAGTTCAAGTTTTATTTCGTATTTATAAAGAAATGTAAATAAAAAGTGGAGAAATCAGCGTTGAAAAGAAGTATTAATTCAAAGAGAATTAAAAAGGTAAATATACGTATTTCTGAAGTACTCAGAGATGTACAAGGAATAATATGAATAGTGCGAAACAGTTTATTTTTGTTAAGTTGTAACAATAGATGTCAAGCCTTGTGCCAAGTCATTGCTCTTTACATGAACTAGTTAAGATGGGAACTTTAAAATTCGAGGGTGCATAAAAATAAATCTCTTTAACTTTGTGTAAATCGAGTTATTATTTTAATTCAACTTACCGTCTGGGAACCAAAATGGCTCTTTCTTGGTTTCTTTTTTTTCTTCCTCTTCCTTTTTCTCCATCTTTTTCTTGGACCTAATTTGTTTTAGCTGAGCTTCTTCCAACTTTAGAAACTTTTCACGCATCGGCGTAAGCTTACTTTGTAATTCCTTTGTGCACAAATTAAACGCATCAAAGTTCAATTCAAACTTTACGTCTTTCAAAATTTTTGCATTTACTTGATCCTTTCCTTTGTAAAAAAAACGAACAAATTGAATTGTCAAGTATGCTGGCAATCGACTAATTTTTGCCTGAAATAGCAAATATTTTTAACTTTCAGTCCATCTACCTCACATGTTAGCTATTTTATTCATGTAAAGTGATGTAAGCTCTCACTGTTTTCGTGTACAGGGCATCTCTCTGTAAAACTGGCGACTTTCGTGTGATTTGTTCCTGCAATTTATCTTCAAGACCCTTGAACATGTATTTTACTTCAGTTGAAATGAAACAACTGAGTTGCAAGAATTCTTCTTTTCCCTGTGTTGGTGGCTCATCTTCTGTTTCAATACATTTTAGTTCTGTATCAAAAGTACCACCAAAATATTGATCAATTATTGATTTGGCCTTGTAAGAAGCTTCTCCCGACTCAACAGAATTTTCCTAGATGACAGTAATGGTTGGGTTGAAGAGACTAATATCGTAAAATAACCCAAAATCTACCACAATTACCAGCGATAATGTAGAAAGTTAAAGAATGAAATATAAAATAAATACCTTTGGTGGCAACTTTTGTTGCAACATTCGTACGAGTTCTGTCCAGCATTCGTTAGCATCTTGCTGCTGAAAATCGCCCATCTTGGTTTTCTCAGAAAATCTTGGGAAAGCACAATGCATCATCTGAACCAGAATAACTGGTGGGAGAGTAGAGCCCTTGTCCATTCCCTCGTACAAATCTCTTAAAGCAGCTGTGACGCAATGGGATGCCTGGAACTGCATACTACTCTCAGGCATGATCAGTCCTCCATTAAAACTCTTTAAAGCCTCACGTAATTCAGGTACAGTTTTCAAGCACTGAACTGTGGCATTTAAGTAACACGTGTTGCCGAGATTTTTCAAGCCAACTGGTAAGTCCAGCGCAGTGTTCAATTCTTGCTCACTCATATCTTCTATAAACACTGGTTTCTCTACAGGCTCCTGAGGAACATCTTCTTCTTTGGAACCCATCATTAGTACCATGGCCCCCTAAAATAAAAGTACAATTCGTTTTTGCAATCAAGCTGAAACTGCATTTACTCAAATATCCTCTGATAAATTAATGGAAAGAATGCTTTATTATTGAAATTTAGTGATTGATGGCATCAGGGCTAAAATAAAAATGAAAGTGAAGGAAGAGAGGAAGATAGAGATGGACAAGAAAAAAGCTAGAATGACAGTTCAGCTTAACTGCTGATTCAAAGTACAAGACCAATTATTGATAGCAAACTATTAATATCTTGAGTAAAATCAATAAAAAGTTCTTCTTACATCTCTTAAATTAATATTCCAATTATCGTCCTTCAAAGTCGTGCCTTTGATTATGACCTTCTGCCTCTGGGGCTGGACACCTGTGAGGGCATACAACTGAGCCTTGAACAACATAGGCTCCTCCTCAGTATTAACCTCGACATCCGGAAACAGCTCATTTTGCCATTTAACTCGTACTGTGTAAAGTTAAAAGAAAATTCAAAAATGCACAATCATCAATAACGTAATCGGGATACATAAAATAAACAAACGTAAGATTGGTTTGCAACTAAATAAAGTACTATCTTTAAACGTCAGGGTTAGAAAACATGTATCATAGAAAAAAAAACTGTGACTTACCCTTGTATTGAGGCATTTCAGTAAATTAGTTTATCTTTTTCTAGGAACGAATGTTTAAAATGAAGCTACCAGGATGTGAAAGCATTAACAAAGAAACTAAATAACAAAGTGCACCGTCAGTACGTCCACACTCTCTTGACAGACAATACAACTGTACGAACTTCACTGAAGTGCCAAGTGTGCCAACATGCCAATTGCCAACTTGCCGACCATGATCTGCTGACTCACCAGCTTTTTCTATACATTGAGCAGCAGAACCCCTAAATGTTACTTTGTTCAGCACTGCATGCATTGAACGCTGTCCCAATGCAAGTCCTAGGTGCGTTCAGACGCAACGTCAATAGAAATCTGCAATCCATTTGAACGGGGCCTGGCCAGGCTTAAATGTAGAGTTTATCACACGGTGTAATGAGGTTGACCGCAGGCTATGATCAGGGCCTGGCCAGAGTGCATGTTAACCGTAGATTTAGGGCTAATGCCGTAAATATAGATATACTGACTGTAGGAATTTGCTCGGAGTCGCTCTGATGAGCTCGGAGCAAAATATGCGTGTTTTGGGACAAAGTTCGGAAGAGCTCCGAGCTGCTCCAAGCTAAGCCCCAAACGAACCTACTCATGCTGTTATTCGTCTTATTTTAGTTATTTCTTTATTACTAAGTACAGTTCTTATTGCTTACGTACATAGGTCCTTACAAGGTTGACCCCATAGCCCCATACACTAGCTCTAATTGTTCTTAAAGTCGCACTTTAACAAAAAATTTTATCTCACGCTAAATGTATGTATGTGTTAACGTTTTTCTAGCTATACCATTCAGATAAATGAAATCGAACACTTATTTTTCCTCGACTTAACTCTCACAAAGATGTTATAATTAATGAATCTAAGTTTTGCGGCTCATTAACTCAATAACTTTTTTATGAATATCAATTAAAACAGCACATAACAAATTATATTTTTATTTACTTATCGACAACTTACGGTAAAAATATAAAAAATTGTTTCACATCAACTTATTGCTTGATGACATAGTAAAAAAAGGTCAGACTATCATAAATGGGCTCGTGTAGTCAGGGTCAGGCTAATCAGGATTGTTATTTTCAATAATCAGAGCTCGAGCAAGATTACGTGCAGCGGCAAAACGGAATATCGGTAATTTTTCTTTAAATTTTGGATGATCGCCTCGTTTTTCGATCGCGCGCAATAGTTCGTAGGTGTCGTCCGACGAAAAGATTATATCTTGCGAATCCAGAAGTGGTATGGCATCGTTTAACAATGTTGGCCAGAAGCTGCAAAAATAACATGACAGTTATCTCAAAGATTCATCAACGTAAAAACCCGTATTAACTGTGCATGTATGCAGATGTTACACTTACTAGGATGGCGTCAAATTTGAAACAATAAGCGAAATAAGTATTCTGGCAGCTTCTTTAAACTCTCCAATGCCATACATCTGATGGAATTCACAATATTTTCCTGAAAATTGAAATATTTTGGTTCAAAAAAGAACAAACAAAGCAGCTCTAACCGTTTAAAAAAGAAATTTTCAAGTTACCTAAGAACGTCAACCTCTCACTAATGAGCATGCAGGCACCTAGGTTCTCTAAAAAGTCGTGACACTGAATTTTCTCGTGTTCAACGTAATACCTGAGAAACCTGTCAGCAATTTGGCCCGCGAATAGTCCATCCTTGGCTTTCAAAGCCCAAGCGAGGGCGTTTCCTAGACGCCCTTGGCTTATACATTTTACTCCTTGTATCTTACATATACTGGAAGCTGATTATGGAACGTATTTATTAACTTTTAATAGTTCATAACGCTTTGTCAATTGTTAAAATAAAATTTTTATCATGACATACCTACATGGGGCATCTTATTTTCCATGGCAATGTAGACAATTTTATGGATTCTTGCTTCACTGCCTAAAGGAATAGTTTGTAAGAGCGTTTCTAACCTAGTGGAGCCTTGTTCAGCACAATGTTCCAGGTAACTTGCACCACATTGCCACAGAGAATTGTGACTCATCAAGGTACTTCCGTAATCCAGTATAAGAGATTCGTGAAGCAAATCTGTAACGCTGAAAAATAGCAATGTAATCAAAGATAAAGATGATAAAAAAAAAAAATTTAGAGGGTACTCACTTGACTTGGTGCTTGTCCATGATATTTAATCGGCCACAATGGTAAAGCAAGTCTGTCAAATGGGCAGCAAACCAACCATTATCGCTCATGTATTGAATTTCCTTGATTACCTGATGCAAATCGCTTTCCATGAGAGCCAATATGATATTATCTAACACAACCAATGGTATTTGCCTACTGCTCTGCCACTTCAAGGCAACGCTATTTGCGTAACGAGCTAGTTCTGGCTGTTTGCAGCATGGGGCAGAGTAAAACAATTTTGCTGCCAATAACTCGTACCAAGCTTCGGTGTACTTTGAGAATTCCCATATTTCATTTCCAACAACTAGCTGTAGAACAACGAATGCATTGTTAAGTTTATAATATTGAATACACAAATTAATAATAAAGTTTTATCTACCTTCATCAGGGATTCTAAATTTGTTTCTATTGCAAAAACTTTGCTGTCAATACTTTGAGACAAATTCATTTGCCACTGTTTCCATCTTATGGTAAATTCTTTCACAGAGTACCCCCCGTACACACTGTAGACCGGCATGTTTCTGAGCGCATTCTCCGCTGCAACAAACGACGAATGGTCCGCTTTGCTGTGCAACGCTAGCAATGCCCTTACAATATCGAGTTTTCCATGTAAGGCACAGCCAAATGCAGCTTCCCAGTAATCTGTGTTTTCGAGATCTGCACCAATTTTTTTTTTTGCCAGTATTTTCATGGCCATTATTTCTCTGGACGGAAAGTGAAATCTGATCCACTCTAGAAGTTGTGGCAAAACAACTTCTCCTAAAATCATGCAAATTCACTTGTAATGGCGAAGTTAGTGTTACCAGAATCTAATGAGAATTGCAAGCCTTACCTGGTGTGACATCTATGTAAAGGATTTCTGTCAAGTGCCAGACGCACTCGACATTGTAAAATATAGTTTGTAAATTCTCATACAGGCCCTGTTTTTGGTCCGAGTACTTTTCTGCAAGTTCTTGCAGCTCCTCCACGCAAGCTCTTAAAATAGAACGATACCGTTTACTAAACTTGAATATTTCTGGCTTTGGGTCACTCATCACAGTGGGAGAACTACTTTTCAACTTCTGAATTGCCAAGAAGACACTGTTGCTCTCATTGACCATCTTCCTGATAGTGGGGTAATACAGAATGACTTCTGGACAGACGAAGTGTACTTTTGCTTCACATGGATGATATTCACTCGTGGTATCTGCAAGAACGATTTAATTTTATGCAGCTATTCTTGCTGAATAGTACTCTTCAATGCACCACAAACCTTTTGACTTCAAAGTGAGCCTTTTGTGCGGAAAAAGAGCTATTTTATTGGACTTGAGCCATACCGCAGCCATGCCAGCCCTTTGACAAACATCATCTGGTAGTGCCTTAAATAATAAATTGTTAATCATCAAAATAACTAATAAATAAACCTGTCAAGTAGGTTTTGGAGTTTGAGGTTAGCTTTGTTTACTACTCGTCGGATACAACTTACGATAATCTGAGCCTTGATTTCTTCTGTCATGTTGAACCAAAAAATTAAATATTTACTTTTTGTTTATTTATCAGGCAACGTTTAATATTAAACTCGACATTGATCAATGTGTATTGGGTATACAATCAAAGGTTAGGGGAGAGGATAGATGAGAAACTGCTTACTGGCCGAAACGCGGCATATATAGATTTGTTCCGCTTTTCGATCCAGGGCGCTCCGAGCGCTCGAGTGAGCAATTCGGCCTGCAACTCCCCCAATTGGAAAATTGAACTTTCGGCGCGCATAATATTGCAGGATGGCAATTGATAGTTGGGTAAGGGTGCCTGTACATGGAAGACCTGCAGTTTGGCAACTGCCAGTCAAAGCTCTCAGGTCTCATGAACAGGTACCCTTAGGCGGATTCAATAGAGGCCTGTACTCTTAATCATGGCCCGGAATGTAGAGTTTAATTAGACAATAATTTCATTCTTTTTATTAACGATTAAAAAGCTACTCATCACAACAACAAAAAACTCATAAATCATTAAAATGGTATTGGTAGGGTTAAAAAATAATTGATAATTGAAATAACTCAGATAGCGTATAAATAAAAATTATTAACAAGCATAATCTTCCACTCCAAATCTCTTGAGCTCGTAAGTAACTCTTTACCTAAAGTGCTTTAACTCCATATCCATATTTATATACTCTTAAGCCCTTAAACCAAATGACCTGGACTGTAGAGTTAAATTTGATAATAAAGTAATTCTTTCATGAACAATAAAAGAGCTACACATCACAAAACACAAGAAATAACTTTTAAATCATTTGAATGACCTTCGTAGATTAAAAAAGAGTATTTAATTTAAAGTAACTTGCTTATCCTATTCGTGAAAATTATTAACAAATAAAATTTCTCATTTTTAAACTTTTAAGTCTCTAACCTTTTACTGCAAGTGCTTTTACCCTAGAAAATGATCTGGGACAAAGTAGATAATAATACGATTTTTTTAATAAGAATATATCCATAAGATTATGGCAAACTATTATTTTAATGACTAGCATATTTTAAGAGATTAGTTCCTACTCATCTCTGAATGCTCCTCGAGGAAGGTTTTAGGCGACCTTCTTGCAGCATAATTGCCTAATTTCCCTCTACCCTCCTCCCAGTAATAGGAGACCTCCCATCCCTCTTCCCTTCCTTCTCCCAAGTGCTAATAATATAAGTGCCCTTTATAGGAGCCGGATGTTAAACTCTGACATATAAAAAAAAATCTATAGTTATAGCCAAGACTGTTAATATAGAGGAGAACAAGTGTTCGGTTTAAAAATACAGAGCACTCGGAGCTCGGAGCTCTCTGGATCGAAAAGCTGAACATAGAATAATCAACAGACTGACAGCCGACAGCCCGACCCGACAAGAAATTTCGTCCTGTCTTTTTCTCGTACTGCGGCACGCAGCGCTCTTTTGCTAGCTGAGTGCTGATTAGTTCCGACATTCCTGCAATTTATTAAACTCAGTTTTTTTAAATTTACAAAAATTAAACTATTACGATGCTCCATAAAAATTTCCGTTTATTAAATGTATATACAACGATAATTGATTTTTATTTGCCTAAGATTGTTTTTTCTTTGCCTTTTCTGAACTCAGCTTCATCTTTTTTATTTTGTATCTAGGTACAAAGGATTTGGACTTTTTTGTTGCTCCTTCGAAAAGCTCTGAAATAGGTAAAAATAGCATTCAAAGGAGATGAATGAAAAAAAAATTTTAATACATGAATACATCATGAGTAGAGGCAGACCTTTGTCAGGTTCTTGGCCAACTTCATCTCTGTAATATTGCGCATCATCATCTTCATCCGATTTGTTGGCTTCGTAAGACTCTTTCGCTATCTTCTGCATTAGAATATCCTTTTCTCTCTTTCTTTTGATGCCCTGAAGTGATTTTTCTTTATGCTCTTGTTTCTTTTTTTCTTTGGCATTTTTATTCTCTTCTTGTGTCTTTTTCCGCTTCTCTTTCAATTTCTTTTTCTGTTCTCGCTTCTTTTCAAGCAAAATTTTCTCTTCTTCCGTTTTACTGACGAATTCGTGATACAGTACTTCACCTTCCATTAAACCATCTTCGACCTTGATCAACTGAGTATAACAAACGAAACATCGTTAGAATGTGGTCTGTGGTGGGAAATAAATAATTTAAGACTGATATATTTATGTTATATTAATTACCTGCAGTGTTAATCTTGGTCCAAGCTCGTAAAGTTTAACTGCACTCTTGCTCTTCTCGTGATTTCCTCGGGATGATAGTTTTTGGGGCAAAGTAACGTGACTGGCTGGATCGTCCTCGGCCTCGCTTTCGGATAACGTGGGCTTTGTCATAAAGTCTGAAAAATCTTGACATCGCGATAGATCCGGTACCTTGGCCTGAACCAACTTTTTGACATTCCTTGATAAACCAACCGGCACAATTTTGATGGCATAATGTCGAAAATCTATCTGCTTTGTGTCCGGATTGTAGTTTAAACAGACGCAACGCCGAAGATTACTCAGATTTACCTATAATGATCACAATGGGCAAACAACAAAATATTCCTTGAGCGCAAAATTGAACAAATAAACAAATTATACTTACTGTGGCCAAGTTGATGGTAGGAAACATGTTTTGAAACATAGTGGTCATTAACTTGAGCTGCATACCCTCACCACTAAACTTGTTGAGAACAACTAGGGGCGAGTGTTTGAAGGCTTGTTCGAAAACAAGTTGTTTCTTTGTTGTGGAGACGACATCTCGCGCCAGAGTGAAATTTTTTATCTTGAAAGTAAGGGTCGGTCCTCTTGGTAATCTTGGATAGGAAAATAACTAATAAATGACCAAGAATTGATGATACTAGCAAGTATATGTTACGTAGTACGTCTGCACAAGTAACAAGGAATAAATAATTACTTGTACTTACTAAAACCTACCTGCAGAGCTTAAGATACATGCCGAGCTCGGTGCGCGTGAATAGAGACATGTGAGTAACATGAAGGACACCTGCAACGGACACAAAGTCCTTGATGCTGTTACGCTTTCGTTCCTTGAGGGCAGAGGCTGTAAAAGGTTCCATGACCTTTCGAAAATCCTTGGTGAGTTCGACAATATGTTCACCGGGTAAGCCCCGGTGGATGACGAACGAGTGTGGTGCTCTTACGATATCCCCTGACTCACCACTGTCGAGATGCTTGTTACGCTTAACACAGCGACCCTGCGAAATTTTCAAAATATCAATTAGTAAATACAGAAGAGCCATCAACGATAAAGATAATTAGAAAGAAGTTTTTCCAAGTACTTTTTTGCTTCGACCCATTTTCTTCTTCGCACAGTTTGCACACTTGTTGACAGTTGTTGACTCTAACTCTCTTTTATAATTGTGACAAGATTAACTTGTAATTGGAATCACTCTTGGATGGTTACTTTACCAACATTATCTGTAAGGTATCGAATAATCCGGTGATTGAGATCAGTCATCCGACCTACCTCACAGAGAAAAGTAGAAGACCATAGAGTAGAAGACACGCCGTAACCACATTGTTTACTTACAAATATTAATTTTGAGGTTACGTATGCGGAGAATAGTAGGTTTGTTCGGAAGTTCGGAAGCCGAAATGAAATCCGGCGATCCACGGTCCACGGCCCACGGCCCATAACACAAGTTCGACGTTCGACAAAAGAATGAACCTTCTTTGATGAAGCTTTTAGGTAAACGTAAAATTTTTTGTAAAAGCCTGTAAAAGTGGTACAACATTATTTAATGCATCAAAAAAATGACGTGAGTCTGTATACATCATAGAGCGAAGTTTTCTAAGTGACTTGTGATGTAAATAAATTTTTTTTTTATGCAAACGACATTCAATTACTTTCACTAGTAAATAGTAGTAATATATATTAGTGTTTGCCAACACTAAGTAGTTGTGCAACATCAGTAACATTATACTGATGTAAATAGAAAATTTAGTTTATGAGATTTTAAATCTCGCGCTTTAGGATATTCTCTTACCTATAAGGTCCAATCATAAACGTGAGCGCGTCTATTAATATACCAAAGACTCTGTTTATACTTACCTTTGTCCAGCAGCTTGCTGCTGCTGCGGCTATCATTAGTCAGCCTCAAACGCCCTTTTTGGTAAGTCGCTTTGCGCTCGTGTTTATAATTTTCACGTGTATCGTTTTTATGTAAGATTTCTGTAACCAAAACGATTCACATTTTCGATTGACACGTAATTTCTCCGTCTGACTCAAAAATTAGTTCTTCCTTTTTTTATCTTGCAAGTAAGCAAGTATTATGACTTGTTAAAGTAAAATTAAATAGAGAGATTGTTTTTTTTATTAAACGGCTAAAATGTTTAAAAGTGTGTTGTGCATTTATTATTGTGTCCTTTTTATTTACATCCTTTTTCACGCTCCCCCAAATCCGGCGTGCGGTACAAATTATACCGTCCACTATCTTACTGAGATCAATTTCTAACGTGGTCCTTCGAGCCGGATGTGGGGAGGTAAAATATAGGTGTAGGACATTTTCCTTTTGTGTAAGACACGTGGTCGTTTTATCGGTCATCTTGGCTTCTTTTTGCGTTCTTCTCGGGCGACGAGGCTGACGCCTGACGCGGTCAACGCGCCGGCGCGTAGTCCATACGCACACACACACATAGCCATATCTCTTTCTCTCTTCTTTATTCGTTTGTCGTCGGGTGCGAGCGAGTCCATTATTGTTATTCCGGGGACTCACTGCTGCTCGTACTTTGGTCGTCGTCAGCGTGTGCTGTACGGAAGCCCGGTAACGACATTGTGCGTGCAGGCTTGAAAGCTAGCAAGTTGCACGTTGCATGAAAGATGTCGAGTTGCAAGTTTGCATGCGTGAAAGGTAGCAAGTTTGTTGTCATACACGAGAATCTCTATGTATTGGTACATCTCCGGCCATCGGGCCATATATATGTATAACTGTAGTTTTTGATGCTGTCAAAAATGCCCTGAGCTATGTGACAGGCCTAATAGTCGTTTTGATTGAAGAAAAATTTTGTGTTTAACATAAAACAAAACATGTGTGTATTACCTGTTTGTAATTGTAATTCGATTCCTGTGAGTTTGCCAATTGTTATTCTGTATTCGAAGCTTTTTTTACAGTTGTTATGGAATCCAGGGAAGACATCATAAAAAAAATATTTTTCCGCCCTCGGGCGGTTTTGGGAGGCTGGTACTCCCTCGGGCGAAAAAGCAGTTTTCCGGAACTCGTTCAAAAAGTCTCCTTCACGAACCTCGTTACGGACATCGCCTTCGGCTCGGGCCGCAAACCTCTCGGTTCGCAAACAGAGACTTTTCAAACTCGTAGGAAAACTACTATTTTTCCGCCCTCGGGTGGTTTTGGGAGGCTGGTACTTCCTCGGGCGAAAAAGCAGTTTTCCGGAACTCGTTCGAAAAGTCTCCTTTACGAACCTCGTTACGTCCCTCGCCTTCGGCTCGGGCCGCAAACCTCTCGGTTCGCAAACAGAGACTTTTCAAACTCGTAGGAAAACTACTATTTCGCAATAGTGTGCGGAAAATGGGTGTTTTCCGCACTGGTATTAGTGTGGAAAATCGATTTTCCCACATAGTGTGCGACAAAGGTGTGCGGCAAAGGTTTTTCCGCACAGTGTGCGGAAAAGGTGTGTGGCAAAGGTTTTTGTCGCACAGTGTGTGGAAAAAGTGTGCGGCAAAGGTTTTTGCCGCACAGTGTGCGGAAAAGGTGTGTGGAAAAGGTTTTGCCACACACCGGAAAAAATTTTGCTACACACTGGAAATCAAAATTCAAACCTATTTTGTACCTATTTTCCTCACACATTGCGAAAAAACTTGTACGCAACTCGTGCGGGACGATTTCCCGCACTCGTGTGATAGACTCGCACTCGTGGCCGGTGACGGTAACTCGTACCTTGCGATCACACTCGTGCTACGCACTCGTGTGCTCAACTGGTACTCGTTCCCGTCAACTCCGGCACTCGTGTGAGTCAATCACTACTCGTGCGGGAAATCGTCTTTTCCGCACTTGTTACGTAAATAACTATGCTGAAAATTATAAGTATAAAGAAATTCAGAAAACTTTGGAGCAAAGTGGGCATGAAATTAGTATCCGTCAGTTACAAAGAGTAATTAAAGATTTAGGACTTAAAAGAAGAAAGATAAGTGAAAATTTACCAGCCATCATTGCTGCTATCATGTTGGAATTACAAGGCAGCGGAAGTTGTCTGGGGTACAAAGCTATGTGGTTGAGACTAAAACTGCAGTATGGTTTGAATGTTTATCGACAGACAGTTTTAGATTTGTTGCGTTTACTGGACCCTGATAGTATCGAATTCCGAGCTCAATATAAATTACACAGACGTGTTTACAAAGTACCCGGTCCAAACTTCGCCTGGCATTTGGACGGGTACGATAAGTTAAAACCATATGGCTTCGCTGTACATGGTTGTGTGGATGGTTACTCCAGAAAAGTATTATGGTTTGAAGTGGGCACAACAAACAACAAACCACAGGTAATTACCACTACTTGAAGGCTGTACAAACTTTGGCTGTGTTCCTTCTATAGTAAGGTCTGACCATGAAACTGAGAACTCTATCGTAGACAACTTGCAACAAGCTTTCAGATTGGAACATGACGATAAATTGGCTGGAGTACACTCATTCATCAAGGGAAAAAGTACTGCAAATAAAAGGATAGAAAGCACTTGGGGAAGAATGAGAAGACACTGTGTAGAATTTTGGATAAAATTTTTTAAAGACTTGAGGGATGAAAATTATTTCAAAAAATCAGATAAAATGCAAGTGGAAGCGCTTAGGTACTGCTTTGGTCTCTTAATAAGTTTGGATCTACAATTAACTAAAAAATAATGGAACAGGCATAACATAAGAAGGCAGAACAATGAAGTGGTGCCTGGCAAGCCAAATTTTTTATACTATGTTCCAGAGGCTTCAGGTGCTAGTGACTGTGGTCACAAAGTCAGCGAACAACACATTTTGAATGCTTTCGAAGCTTTTGCTATGAAGCCAACCTACTGCAATCAAGCTTTTAGTGATTTAATAAATAATTTATTCCCTGCAGTCGTACCTCCTACATCTATTAAAGAAGCGACATTGTTTTACATTCAAATCATTAATGAATTTAAAAAATATCCAGAAAATTAAAATTGATCCTCTCAAGGAACATTTTTTTGTTTCTTCGACAAATGGACAATAAAATTTCCACCACGTGTACTAGCTTTTAAATTAATTTTTTCAATATTACTAATTAGTATTTTCTAATTTAAATAGATGAAATAAAGTATAAATTTTCTGTGACACTGTTATTTTGACAATATTTATTTGAAATTTCTCAACTACAAATGTACTTTTTTACTTTGATACTACTTGGTACATTACAAGCACTGACTATAATACAAAATACGCCGTATAAATTGTTATAATTAAAGAATGGAAAAAAGTATGAATTGAACAACATACGTTTTACATCACACGTATTTTTGTAGTTATTAAAGTAATAACAAAACAGTATGCATAAATTATTTTATGTAATTGTCATAAATATTATGAGTTACAAAATATTTTAAATTATTTTTTTCATTAAGTCAATGATTAATCACATAACAATATCTCAATGCAAATGTTATTTTTTTCTTATGATTTGTAACATTTGATTGTAGTTATACTTATTAAATTATTATATCCTTGAGGAGATCAATTAAAAGCAAGTTACATTTTAACTTACAGTTTGCACATAAATAGACAAAATTACCACTTCAGTAACGTAGGAACATGAAAATATAAATTAAAAATCTTAAACTACGTGAGGTCGCTCTACTATTTTAAATTATTGTAAGATCATAACCCTGCCTACAAAATAGTCTAAGATTTTTTTTGCAATCTTAAGACCTAGTAGTATTATTATTATTATTAAAAATGTAAAACTATTAACAGTGTTGACTGTAAACTTGACTTTTAACTCTACTTAGGATTCTGCTCTTTTAACGTCTCTTGATTAGGTTCATTTCAATCTTAAAGCTGAAAGCTAAGTTCGAAATGAGTTTAGGTTTCAATTAATACAGAGGAATAAAAATGATCAAATATTTCGGGAAAACAATTTTAAGGTTAGATACAATATGGAAAAAAAATGTTTTCAATATAAAAAAAGGAATTGAAAAACTTACTTACAAATTATTTTTTACTTCTTGATATAATTGAAAAATTGTTGGTCTGTCGACTGGATTAAATGAAAAACATTTTTCTAAAATAGGTCGTATGTGACTAGGTACTTTAGTTAAAACTGGTGTTTCTTTTGCACTTAATTTTTGCATTACAGCTTCTTTTCCGCTATCTTCCCAAATAGGATTTTCTGTCATGATTTCAACAATAACTGAAGCTATGGCCCACACATTAGACATTGTTGACGCTGGTTTGTGATCTATAATTATTTCTGACGCCATGTAAGAATGGGTCCCAAGGATGTTAGAGCCAATGGTACTTCGAAGTGCAGTTACATTATTATTAAAAGTACTTAATCCAAAATCAC